CTTCATCGTCACAGTGACCATGGAGGACCTGAGGATAAGCGATGCTGGCATTTACTGGTGTGGGATTGAGAAAACTGGACCTGATATCACGTTTAAAGTTAATGTGAACATTGACCCAGGTAGGAAAAAATTCTAGAAGCTTCTGGCTTGGGTGAGGAATCAGGGACCCTGAACTCATTACTGTAACAGTCTTACTGGGAAAGATAACCACAGCTGACTTTTCTGGTCCTGTTTTCTACTGAGATAAAGGTGAGCTGGGGAGGCCTTGTCTTCCCGCCCCCACATGTGAGTCTTGGATATTCTCACTTGTGCAGATCTGGGGGCTGAACTCAGAACCTCAGGTGTGATAGCCACACACTTACCACTGAACTAAACTCCCATCCTGACACCCCCAACACCACCCTTTTACATAAAATAGATGAAGCCACAGAAGCTCTATTCTACATAAGATAGAGTAAGAAGGATCAGATTTGTGTCTGTTGAAACTACAATAAAGACAGTAGAGAAAATTGGGGCTGGAGAGAGGGCGCAGTGATTAAGAGCACTGACTGCTTTTCCTGAGGACTGGGTTTGGATCCCAGTCTACACAGCAGCTCACAACCATCTTCAACTCCAGTTCCAGGGGATCTGATCTCTCCTGGCCTCCACAAGCCCCACATACACACGGTGCCCATGGATATGTGCAAGCAAATACTCATAGACACATAAATAAATATTTTTAAAACAGACAAAAATTGCAAAAATGAAGCTTTTCTGCATTTTGCACACCAGGCAGTAATGAGTGAGCCAGGAAGGAAGCGGGTTTTAAAGGGGGGCTGCTTTGCTCCCCACATCATCTTTCTTTAGAAAAGAATTAACGTGAAGGTTTGGATGGTGACTGGAGAGCAAATCCCTTAGTTACTAGTGGGGAAAGATTAGGCCATACCCAGAGCTGGACTGTCCACAGGAGTGAACCATGTGCTGTTTGTGTCTTTAGCCCCAGAAACTTCAACTAAAATAGTGTCAATCATGGCCCCAGTCCTGACAACCACATGGTCAACCAGCATGGCCCCAGTCCTGACAACCACAGCGTCAACCATGGAGAACACTGGCAGCTATGGAGGGACTCAAACCAACACCCACACCTGGTAAGCAGAGCTGGACCCCAGCAGCTCTTCCATCACTGGGCTGTCCCTGTGGCCTCTCCTCTGAATAAAACACAAGATGCCCAGGAGTCCCAAGATACATGAAAAACTTTCATTCTAGCTTATGTACATCCCAAGCATTACATGGCTATACTTATAAATTTGAAAAAGTCACTTATCTGAATATCAAATTGGCCTGGCCATCTTGTAATTTTATTTGCTAAACTCAGTAAGTATCTTAGAGGGACACTGGGGCTGCTGTATTCTCGTGTCAAAGTTTGATGTGGGCTCCCCATCCGTTTACCTTTTAGTATACCAAGACTTCCCTTCTAAGCCTCAGCTACAGGAAGGCAGTATCTTTATTTGAGTGCCAAAAGAGACTGAGCCTGGTCTTTGGGGTCTCCCCTATGTGTCCCCCAGAGGGCCATGGTTGGATCTCCTCTGAGTTAGAAGAGATTCTTCTCCCATCATCTCCTGCTCCAGCTTCATAAACAAACCTTGTTCCAATGCAACTCTGCCAGGAGCCAGTGTGGGGTCTACACCGTGAGAGGAGGACATGGGAACCTGAGGACTGTGCTGTGCCAGTATTATGCTCGTCACTCTAGAAGGTGTCCCGAGGAATTCCCAGCACCTTATAGCTGCTTTGGCATAATTTCCTTCCCAGCCTGCTGAGGTTAATTCTCCAGGTCAAGGACACAGCTAAAACACAAGCCCCCACATCCCCCTATAGCAAAGGCAGAGGTCACCTCACTAACCCTCCCTGAGAATTGTCCCTCAAGTCTTATCTAGTCCCGCTCCCCTCCGACCTCTATTGTGTTCTTTCTTTCCACTAAATCTTAAGGTAGACAAATATGTCTCAAAACACTGCCACCTTGTAAGCGAGCTTGAGGATTACTTTTTAAATTTTCTCTTTCTCCTAGTGCTTTGGAAGCGTTCTTGTTAAATTGTTTTGTAAGTGGAATGGGTGTTAGTTATGGAGACACAGAGGGTAAGAGGAAATGTATAGAGTTCAAGAGATTGTAGAGCATGGACAGAGCTCAGTCCTGGGAAACATGTCAG